ACACCTGTACAGGTTGTAACCATTGGGCATGAAGGGGGAGAGGGAGCTTGCATAGCCAGCTGGAGCTACCCGAAGATGAGTTCCCAGAAATACTTGTGCTTCCCATCCATCAGCAGGAGACCGCTGACAGCAGCCGAGGTGTTTGCGGAGCATCGTTGTGTTTAAGTCCTGTGTGCAGACTGGGTAGCCTCTGCAAGTGGAGCAGTTGTTTTTCTGCCTTTGTGCTTCCTTATGAGCTTATTTGTTCCTATTGTGGTGGCTGAGATGCTCAAACACTCTTAACTATACATGGGGGACTACTTCATCTGCTCCTGAACTACTGCCACCTCTGAAGTGGAAGGCAGTGGCTGGAAATGGCTGGCAGCCGCGCCGCACAGCATCATTTAGATCAGAAAGCAATGAATAATTCATGCACGAAGAGTTAACAGCTGGCTTGTTTTGGCGCTTGGCTTGGGAGCATGGGTTTAGCTCCTTCTGCTCTTGCACAAAGACCTCCGATCCTCAGGTCATGGGCGAGGAGGATTAGGGTCGTATGGCCACATCCAGCAGCAGTAGGTCCTCTAGGATCCAGCTCCAGGTTTCACTCGTTGGAAAACTGATGTGCCAGCACTTGGGCAGCTCTTTTTCCTCATGGGACCATAGACCAGCTGCACCCTGTATAAGCTGGCATGTCTGTGCAAATTCCTTGTAAACCTATACAATAAGGAAAGGCAAGAAGGAAAATATATCTTTTTTAAAAATAAAGCTCTGGGCTGGATGTGGCCAGGTCCCTGTCTCAGGATGCATTTTCTTTGTCTCACTGAGAATCTCCCTGAGCTGCTTTTGTAGGCTTGCTATCAAAGAGAAAAGGCCCATTAGGGCTGAGAGAGGAGCCCGCACATCTGCTGATAGCGTGAGCTTGGATATGTGCTGTCGATACCATCGTTCACGGCTTCGCTGTCCTGGCGGTTCCCATCCGGAGGCGCTCGGGTAGGAGCATTGCATGATGACAAGCACCACATTGGTTTGCAAAGCTGCTTTCAGGCCAGTCCCTTTGGCTGCGTGCTGGGAGAAAGGCAAATGCACCTCTCTGGGGAGGCATTTCATGCAGGCAGGAGAGCGATGCTTCGAGTTCCCCGTAGGCTTCACAGAGCATTTTCTATCAGCAAGAAGGAAGAAGAAAAATCTAATTGATTTCCAAGGCCAACAGTGAAAACGAAGACGCGGCACGAGCCCAGGGGATGCTCTTGGACATGAAGCCGGTGGCCTCGTCCTCTCCAAAATGTCAGGACCACCTGGTTTTCAGCCCCCAGCACGGCTGGTCAGGGCTCAAAGTGCAGGAGCCTCGGAGCGATCAGTTTTCTCTGCCGCAAAGATCGGCGTCTCCTAAAGCGCTGTGAAGAGTGCATCGTTTGAAAACTGAAGCGGAAACCCGGAGTTGTTATAATTGAGCGACTCTGACGGTCGGGGTAGCTGGTGCATTGCTGGGTCTGTTGGAGGCTCTGAGAATAGCTCCAAGAGAGGCACACAATGCACAAGCTATCACCCGCTCAGTCTCTGTGGAGAGTGGGGGGATGAGTAGACCCTTGCACCATCCTTCCCTTGGTGTCCCAGGCAGGTGTGAATAGCCGGGCCTGGACACATCGGAGGGCTAGTGCCTGTGTGTGTAGCGATGTTCCCCATCACCACAGTCCCATGCTAAGGATTGAATCTTTCCATTTGGGTATTACTCAAGTATTTGACTGAGGCCCCAGGAGATGCAGGTCACCTTCACTGCCCATGAATTTGGGGGTGGCTGTGGGCACCTGCCCTTTTACAGATGCAACTGGGGTGATTGCTCGGAGGTCTCGCAGGACACCTGTGGCTAAACTGCGAGTTGGATGCAGATCTGCTTCTCCCGGACTTGTGCCTTCACTGAAGGATCCTCCTGCCTCTTCGTTGCAAGTTCTGATCCATCCGCTCTCGTGGAGGCTAACCCATTTGCAGCTGCATGGTAGCTGGAAGCGGAGCCCGTTCTTCGCTCTGCTTTTCCCAGGATCTCAAAGGAGAGTGCATGCACGTAGAAAGAGGGAGCCAGGCTTGGGCTGGGGAGTTTGCTGAAGCAGGGAGCAGCAGAACAGAGCATGCACCCATGTCTTGTCAAGTGTAAATCATGTTTCTCCACCTCTTGCCTCACACATGGCTAAGCATCTTGCCAAGGCCCGGCAGATTCCCGTCCTACACATCAATTGCCCCTGCTGATGCACCTCTACGGCAAGATAACGCCTATTTATCTGAGCCCTGCTCATGTCCGCTGACCTCTCGTATCCCGTGTGGAGTCCTCTGAGCACGTGCTAATAGATCTGGTTGCAAGTCGAGGCTGCAGGTTTTAAAACCCTTTTGCTTCTTAATGGCTAAAGCAGCGGTTCTCGACATTTATAGGCTCCCTGTTTGAGGGGACACCCCCTGGAAAGTGCCAGCTCTTAGCTTTCACTTGTTTTTGACTACAGAGAAATATTCGAGCTACTCTTCTGTTGCAAAGAGCTCAGGAGGCCAGCATGTTCACAGCTCGGCCGATTCCTGTTGGAAAGCGCTGGGTTTTGCTTGTGGATCATGCGTGGGTTCTGCAGCA